GCTACTTCAAATGCTTCATACAAGCCGGATTCTCCACATTCATGCAGATCCCGGCGGGTAAAACAAGGGCTTTTGTCCCCAAATAACTTTCAGTACACTTTTCTATCATCTCCGCTGTCTTCTCATTCTCCTCATCCCTCTCTGGTACCACCTCCGTCCCCTTCTCGTGAGCATCCTTCTTGTGCTCCGCGAAATAAATCGGATAGAAAGCAAACTCAGGATACAACAAAAGAGGAAAACAATCGTTCCGCCAATCTTTCTTTCTTCTCTTCACACAGACAACAATCTTCTCAACAATCAGAAGGCAATAATGGCAAATTTGAGGACAGATTCTCGCTATATTCCTTGCACAAACTTATGCATAGCCGGCTAGACCTAGATCAAGTAAGCTTGGTCAATTTGAGATCTGAAGAAAGGGCATTTCATGGGACAAATAAAGAGGTACCGAAAACATTTTGCGAATCAAATGAAGCGTCAAAATCAAACAAAATCACTGGCGAAAAGAAACAGGCTAAACAAAAAAGATTAAAGAACTATGGAAAATCACTTCTCTCCTCGCGATCCAGCTCAAAAATCAGCCCTGAAGTAAAAATGGATGTAATGAAAGGAAACGAACTGGTAGGTGGTAGCAAAAAACAGGCACGGGCCCGGTGCCGCCTTGCTGGGCAACGTTGCTCCATTCCCCATTTGTTACCATGCAGGCAGAGGCTTTCGGTCGGGAGTGTTGCACTCAACGTTTGGGACAGAATTATGGAACGCGGCATCGGTTGGTCTCGAACTGGCCTATCGCATAGTAAGTCGGCCGGCAGCCTCAACAGTCGTCTGGCCGGATTTGGGATGAACACCAACGGAATAAACGTTAGAAATGAAAGCAAAACGATGAAACATGTCGATGAGCAACGGCTGTCAAACGATTCAACAGAGAGGCCGGGAAGCCCTAGAGAAAACATTCTAAAGCACAATTTGAGTCGGGCTTGTGAAGAAAAGTGTCAATTCAAAAGTAAATTTAGTAGCGTGCATAATGAACTGGATCGGCCACCTCGAGTGCCTACAGCTCCACTACTTGAGGTATGTTGAGACCAAACCTTTTAAAACAGAATATAGTTTAACCTCTTCCGAACTCCTGGAAGACCTAGAAATCAGCCATAATTTAATTAGTTATGAGTCAAAGTACTTTCCAATAGATAAGGTGATATTCATATCTATTTGTATGGAAGATACATCAATATTTGACTAGTATTTGCAGCGTTGATACCTGATTCATCATATGAAGTAAACTTGTAATGATATTCAGCTTCAGTGGGTACGACAGTTTTATCATTTCATCTTAGTCTTTAAAGAGATGCATGCCAATGCATTGAGCAATATCACTAGAACAAACAACCCTATTTAATGCTAAGTGAATTTCAAAAACATCGTTGAAAGGAAATTCTAATTTACTCTATCTCATCTAAGATGAGTACAGTTATTATAAAAAAATAGTATTTTTCAACATCCTATCACAAATAACTAAAGTTTCAATTTTATATTTGTATTTATATTTATAATTATCAATAGTTATAGTATCAGTTAGTAAGATAAACTCAGAATTTTGAGTAAAATAATTACTTTTCTTTTGAGGTCAAATTTTTTTTCGAATGTTGTGAAACCAGAATACCAAATAAATTTAATAATGATTACAATACTATACAAATAATAGTTTACAGCCTACTCAAATATTTCTGCTATCAGTAGCCTATAATTTAAGTTAAAATGTATGGTCGTGTGACAAATTAACTGCATTAAGGTGGAAAACAATAAACTATTTACAATGCTAATCTCCTTGTAATATAATGGCTCCCTTTAATTCAAAGGTGAAATTTTAATTTAATTTAATAGTAGTTCAAGCACTTAATAAATTTCCTTTTCTGGTTTTAGCTTCGAAAGGATAAGCATAACTATTGTCATGTTTCCGACAAAATCATATTATAGGCAGCTTACGTGCCTGAAGGAAAGGGCGCAGGGAATACTTATCTAATTTTTTAAATTTTTATTCTATATTTTAGCAAAACTCTCATTCAACCTAATCATAACATACTGGGAAGAATCGATAAAATATTTTCACATTTCTTAATTATATTATGCACTTGACAACATGCCCTAGGAAATTTTGCACCTAGTCATAATATTATTTAGTTATTTTATGACTTTAACTTATTGTTTAATTGTTGTACTTTATGGCACTTTTCCAAATGGAACGGCGCTCTTCCCGATGATGGCATTGCAAATCCACAACATTTATAGAGAACAAATAACAACTCACACACACCCCCTCACACATATACACACATTTAGCAATGTTGTCACTCTTTTTCCACCTTAACTAGAGGGTGAGCATAGGCCTAGTACAGAGTTTAACTTATGCCGTATAAAGTTGGGCATATTAGATCAGATAGGAAATTCCTCCGATCCGTATCCATGTGGCTGGAGGAAGGCAAGTCCTCAGAGAATGCAGAATTGATGGTAAAATTTGAGGTGAGGCAATCAAACATTACTTGTTTTCATGAAATAGATTGCCCTCGTTCTCGCTAATTGTTCGTGCTGTCAAGTAGACTTGATTAGACGCACCTTGTTCATAGTCCTCTGCTATAATAGGTATCATAATTACCAGGTTTAGACCGTGGACTTGGTACATTCTTAGACGTTTCGCCGGCATCGTAGTCGGTATCATCAGGGAGTCTTGCCATTCTCCGCACCAAGCTACAACTCTTCAAAGCGACAAGTTAAGCCACCTTTCTACCGAAATGGTTATGCTATCACTGCTCTTTTTTTTTCCTGGCCAATGCATGAGAATGCACCAAGTGCATGGCCAGACTCTGAAAATGATAATAAATATTGTGGCAAAGGACTTTAGACAAGGTGAGTCCAACTAAGTCACCTTGACAACACGAACATGTTGCAAAAACGAGTTCAATCCACTTCTATGCATCGAAAGGAGACTGCGACCATAACAAAGGCCACAACATATTGCTCTGCATATCTTCGATTAATTGTTTTCGTTTTAGAAATATACTCTAGACTGGCATTAGACTTATATAAGATCTGTATTCGTCCTATTTCATTTAGGGTGGTTGTCCACAATGATGTGCGCCTCGATTGCATTTCACATTGCCTTGTGAGATCTATACTGCAGTCTATACTATATGAGAATATCTGTCGGAAGGCAAGTATATGTGAAATTCAATGCAAGCCTAAGGAAAATTCAACTACAAGTGTTTCGTCATCTTAAACGAAATGGAGTCAATACAGTTCTTATATCTGGTCTACTGGTAGCCTCGAAATCTACGTATAAACTGAAAATATGTTATGGGAGAGTATTGGTTTAAATCTTGCAGTCGCATACTTTTATAACTCAATTTTAAGTGTTGTCTGACCTAAATGCTTTAAACGGACATCTCTTAGTCACTAGAAATATAATATTAAGATCGCTGAAACTCAACTATTTGAGACATAAATGCTTATTTTGTTAGTTTATTCTGGCCATTAGAATTCTCCTCCCTGTTAAAGCTCAAAGATGTCCGATTTAAGGTGACGTATTGTTGTGTCCTTTAGGATCCTCAACAACAACACCGCTTTATTGTTTAACTTGGAAATGTCCAAATAGCTGCACTTGCTCAGATTGATGCAATTTTTTGTACTTTAAAGAGTGATATAATTGTAAATGTATGCAAAGATTCTTATGTTTTTACTGATTCAT